ATCTGTAGGAAAGGTGAAGTGAGAATTATCTTATCTCTTGGCACTGCTAGTGAAGGAAGTGAAGCCAAAAAGACCCTGGCTCTGTGTTGTAAGAGTAGCAGAGATAACTACGAGCAAAATGTTTGCCATTTATGCAGACTGAAGCCTTTTTCCATTTTAAATGGAGTTTTGTTGAGCTTTTGTTGGCTTGGCAGTTAGTGCTTTTGCTTCATTGTTCAGTTCTGGCTTTGAGCATCTGTCTTGAGTCCACATTTTCTATCTGTGTCTGCATGGGTTATCTCTAGGCACCTTAGGCACTTTGCTTAACCTTTCTCTGTACTTTTAAAATAAAATGCTCTTACCTATTACTGGCAAACCCATATCTCGTATGTTTTATGCCAGTGGTGGTTTGTTACAAAAAATGTAAAAAAGATACATTTTTGTATTCATTGTAAATTCATTGTGAAGTTGCAAATAGACCTGTTTATGTTTCTAAGGCTGCAGTTAAAACGTAACTCACATACACTGAATGTAGCTCATATTCAGCTATCCAGTCATCTAAACACTCATACAAATAACTTTTGGAGAAAGCAGGCTTTTTAAAATAGTTTACTTGGATAGAAAGGGTGAAACTCCAAAATTCAAAGACAATGTCGAACTGGAGGGTACATACAGGTCTATTCAGAAGCCCATCTCACCCCTTTTATTAGGAAATCTGTACATCTGAGGAGGTGTTCTGTTTTGGAAATTGAATCAGAGTACATATTTGAACTGATGCTTAAATTTTAGGTGAGACTGCACTTTAAATGTTTTTATAGTAGTGAAAAGAAAATAACTGTCCTCGGGAAATCATCACTGACACCCTTTCGGGTTGTAATGTTTTCCTGGTAGAAGCAGGTCACAATGGGTTGCAGTCACACTAAGATATCTGTCTATTGCATTATCATAGTGGAGAAAGTTATGTATTCATCTTAGGATCACATTGAAGTAGAATTAATTATATTATTCTCACTTCAATATCCCAGTACATAATGTTTCTAGGCTCCCATTCAAATCAGTTAACTATAGTTCTTCAAATCATTTCATCCAGTAGTTTGCATTCCCTACCTTTGCATTTAGCACAACTTGTCATTGTAATACATTCTAACATGGTATTTTCTAATGAACTCTTGGCATGTTGTAGGTGGCGAATTAGTCATGGCTATGATGTGCTGCTTTGTTTAGTAAGGTTACTATTCTATATTTTATTGTTTTGATCAATTTTCTTACTTTCCCAGACAGCCTGTGAGAAGACGGTTTCAGTAATGCATCATGTCTTAAAGAGGACCATCTCTTGTGCAAAAGGTAAAATTACCTGAAATAAGTGGAAACATGGATTTGTATGTTTATGTTGCAAACATTTTGTCAAGTCGTATTCTGTTTCCTGTGAAACTTCCAAATGTTCTCCAGGTTCACAGTGGGTTAAAAGATCTACAGTCACATTCGAGAGGCTCAATCCCAAGGAATCTTTTCAAACTTGTTTGCTCTGTGATTTTCAAATGAACTGAATATACTGTAACAAAAAACAGCTTCTCATAGATTTATGATGCCCTATAAGTATTATTATTATTGGCCTTCAGTATGTAGAATGTTGCCTGTGGGCAACAGCTGGCCAAAGATCTGAATGTGTTTTATACCCGCTTTAATAATAATAATAATTGCTTACACTTATATAGCGCTTTTCTGGACACTACACTCAAAGCGCTTTACAGGTAATGGGGACTCCCCTCCACCACCACCAATGTGCAGCATCCACCTGGACGATGCGACGGCAGCCATAGTG